AAGATCAATGGAATCTTAAGTGCCATGCTAAAAGATATGCATATGAATGGGGAGATTGATGCATGGACAATAAATTTAATAATAAGAAAGGATGTACGATCACCAACAGCATAGGGATTACCGAAGATACACAAGGAAGGTGCCTCCATCCATAAATTACGGGAAAGTTACGAGACTGAGAGACGTAAGTTAATTAAGTTCAAAGATATTAAGTCTAGATTAAGGAAGAATCTAGGCAGGGCTCTCGCTTCGGAGCATGACGGACCAGAGGGCCCGGGATCTGTCAAATAAACGGCATGACAAGAAATTTGCTCAGCTATGGGATAATAAGACAACGCAAGACCAAGCCAGCCCAGGCAAATTATGATGGTTGTTTTGAAGGCATCAACTTATACAGACGCCGATAGGACTAAGGTGGTAAACCTATCTTGAATCCATCTTGATTCTGAAATTATGTATCTCTTATAGAAGGGGTCACATTTTTTCACAGGTAATAAAGGAAATGTTCTTAATGATATTCTGGAGGAAGTTGTCAACATATCGGATAAATATGCAGAAGATACAAAGCGGGAGATGGAAATGGAAATAATCCCATGGATTATGTCAAAGCTGATCATCAGTTCCGTTTCCACCAGTCCGATGTTTTGGATTCTTTTGGAAACTAAATATGAATTCTTTGCAATATTCTAGATTTCGCCACTTGCTTAATTGAGCTTCAAGCAAATGAATTGGGCTAGCTTGTTGGTTGCTCCATTCTTGTTGTTGACTCTTATTCTTAGCGACTTACCTTCCTTGTCTATCTTCGGTAGTCCATAGGTCGTCGGTAGTCGCGCGTCATTTTTAATTAAGGAGTAGCACATTCTTTAACTTTAATGATAAAGCTTACCAACAGGTGCAAGGCCTAACAATTGGATCTTGCTTGGCTCCTATTTTAACTAATAATTACATGTCAATAATGGAGGAACACTTAGTGAAAGATTTAGGGATGACTACATTGTCATATGTCAAGGATAGTTTAGAATATTATTTGTTTTTAATCAACCAGATTGATTGAAATGTTAAGTTGACAAAGCAGATGAAAAAGGAGAATAATTTATCATTTTTAGTTGTCTTAGTGATCAGAGCAGGTGAGTAGTTAAGCAGGAATGTATAGAGAAAGCCAACGCATGCTGGCTTCATACTTAACAACTTCTCTAAACATAGTTATAAAACAAAAGTTTGAGTTAAAAAATCTATGATTATTCGAGGTATAAGGCTAGCCGATAGAGACCATTGTGAAAATGAACTGGATCAGCTTAAAATAATATTTCTTGAGAATAATTATCTTCTAGGCTTAATTGAAAATAACATAAAGTTAATAAAGAATAGCTTTTTGAATGATGAATACGTAGAGATAAGTGTTTTTCTCATGTTTTGTTTTTACTTTCGTGCATTCCCTCTAAAAGGATAGGTGAACAAGGAAGTGGGGAATAAAAACGGTTTTAAGGGAAACTACCACACTTTTTTTCAGTTATGCTCACTTTTAGAGAGAAAGTTGACTCATTATCCAGATCGAGTTGCTACAAGATGTGTTCATGTGGTCGCTTTTATGCTGGAGAGACTTATCGTCCCATTGGACAAAGGGTGGCTGAGAACAAAAGCGCTTGCAAAGGCTGTTGGGTTCAAAAATCGGAGCTGGCTGAGCACAGGGCAGAAACGGGACACGAGATTAAATGGTATAAAACTTCTCGTTTTGCCGATTATGGTATGTTTGCGGCTAAATGTAAAATTAGAGAAGCCATCGAAATAAACTGAATCGAAAAAACATTGAATGTAAGGAATACCGGCAAGACGAAAAAAATTACTTGTGTTTAATTAATTGACTCAAAGATAGAAGGTGTTGAGAGGCCTGCAAAAAGGAGGCGACGCAACTAGTCATTTCTTGTCTTAGTTCCAATCATAGTCACTTCTCTAAACTTTCAGCTCACTCTTTCTCTCTCGCATAAAATCAAAAACAAAAAGGATCATCCACATAACCAGACATGTATCCGATCTTGCGCAATCGGACTGATGGTTATAGCATATACGCGGAGTGGGAGATAGTGGCCATCAAACCTTGTGGCTGAGAACAGACGTTACTTTTGCTCTTCTAATTACTTTGAGTCATCACCGCTGGTTTTGTGCATATGCGAACACAAACAGCCACATATAGATACAGAGGCAGAAACATTCACAGGCCTCAAAGTTGACATATGACCGTTAGTAACCAAATCACCCTATACCTAATCAAGGAGGGCATAAATGGAGTATATATTAAGTTTTTTAGGCATTTGTCGGTGAGTTTTTTTAATCTTTAGCTTGAATTTTGTTTTGACGATGATACCTTGCTCTTATGATGTTCGTCATACGACGGCTGTATTCTTAGCACTTTTTTACCGAAATCCAAGGAGATTACCTCAGAAACAGCGTCACTATAAATGTTCCAGTAAAACCAATCGACAGCTGATCAAGAGGAATCCATCGTCATCTGGTGGAATCGACCCTTGAATCTCTTAACCAAATAATCACTCAAAATGAAAGTAAGCTCAACAATTATGAAACAAGAGATTCCTCGAAGCTCAACTTTTCTTTCATTTACTTAAAGAGTTCACCAACTCTGCCGATTTCTCCGTTATTATGTATTTCCTTTAGCATATGCTTCAGTGTTCTACTCATCTTTATGGTTGGATCCTGCTTTAGTATTTGATAAGTGTTCCGGTCACATATGGTACTTTTGTGTCATGCAGCATATTTAGTAAATTTCGTTGCCTCCGTGATTTCTGATCCGTAATATCCTGGAGTTTTCGAAAATCCTCCTTAATCTATATTCAATATCTATGAACTCGAATAGCTTCGCCTCTCGGTTTCACAACTTTCCCATAATTCCAGGATGGAGCTCTGCCCGAATGACACTTTCAATTTAAGGCAAACTAGCCGAAAATATTACTGATAACTCACTTAGATACTTACTAGGTTATTAAAATGGACTGTATTCTCAAGAAAAAAGAGTTATAATGTAGAAGTAAATATATCATCGTCTCTTCAGAGACAGCATAGGTAGGTTATTCATGATCTTCATTTTAATTCAGACATTGATGAGATTATGAACGTTAGCTAACTGTGATTGAAATGGAAATGAATGGCGCCAATTAAGGGATCCAAATAAAGTGGAAAGTAGCTCTTTCATAAACTACGGATAGTGATGGTGGTGACAAGACTCCTAGTCTGCAGCTGAGGCGATGAGAGCAAACTAAATATTCCTGCTTAAAGGCACATTAATTTTTAAGAAGTTATCAGATTTAACAAAAGTGGGCCATGTGTAAGGCCTAAAAGGAAGTTTAGTATACCTAATGAAAATCTACTCAGGGGTGAAATTCACACAAATACGGCAAATCTTGAAATCAACAATCAGGGCTGAATAATGAAGAAAACGCATACAATCAGAAAAAAAAACAAAAAAAAAGAAGAACGGAAGCAAAAAGTAAAGCAAAGTAGAACCTTTCTATCACGAGAAGGCTCAAATTTGTAGGTGCTAAAGTTGAAAAAAAAGAAAAAGTATTTATATTAGCAAGCTGGACAGCTATGCAGACATAAATGATAACGTAACTAAAATAGCCCACTCTTGAACTGTACAGAGAGAATAATTTCGATGAAAATATAGGTTAATTTAAGCCCTAAATAGATATTACTAGAAAAATAGTATTGTGAGTGAGAAGATCACATAAGATTAATCCAAATTATGCTGAAGATTAGCAAACGAAGTTAGGTTTTGAAAAAGTAAAGAGAAAAAGTCACTTAAAGCTTTACAGGAAATGTGACTATTATGGAAGCGATTCGAGACATTTCGGGAATAAAGTAATCATAGAGGAAAGATATTTAGCCAAATTTATAGCTAATTTTTAGTATTTCTAGTCACAGAGACGATTATCGATTGACGAGAAGCCAAAGCATATGAAGTGGGACCTAACTAAGAAAAAAGAGAAGATAAACAAAGTTATGAATCAAGGGCTTCACTGAAAGAATTATCGCCACAAAGAAAAGCTAGCTCCTTGAGAGATGTGAATTAAGCAAATGTTCTGATAGTAGATATCAAGAAATAGCGGCACCGGTATCTACTATATAACGGCAATATAAATTGTGTTCAGACTAAATTTGTGAGGTGAGGTACTCAGTCAAATGAGAAAGATGAACAGCAAAATATTATAAGTAATATTGAGCAGTTATATGCAGTAGGAGCTGGCATAAGATAAGGTGAAGATCCTAATAACTTGAGGTAAAATGCTAATGCCTAAAAAATAGAGCACAAAGGCTATCAAGACAGAAGACAGACGATAGGATAACGTAATTACTACGAACTCGGTAAATTGAATATGGCATAAACTGAAGAAAAAAGCTATTATGATGCAGGTTATAACGTAAAGGTGCATATAAAGGTTTTCTGAAAAGCTACAAATATGGAGCAAGTGACAGAGGAGGCAGCAAACATGCATAATGGAGGGAAGCCAAATAATAAATATAAATCGGAAAACTAGGCGTCAGAATGCTAGACAAGAAAAAAGGATAATCTATCAAATAGTGGAAACAAATAATATCTAAGCAGGTGCATAAGCGTCCGCAGTAGAGGGTTCGTCGGCAACCGAGATATCGAGGCCGCAAAGACCGAGCTCTATGCGCTCTGTGTTGTCATCCACATCCTCATCATCTTCGCTATCAGAGCATGAGCGGAGGCTGCCGCCTCCACCACCCCCAGTGCCACAGCTAGAGCCACGCAGAGGAGTGGAGCGACCAGAGGCCGAGGGACTTCCAGGAGCAGAGAATGGTCGACTAACATGGAAGCTGCGCTCTGATATGTGGTCACTCAGATCAGACATACCAGTTGAGAAGAAGGGTGCGTTAGCAGGCTTGTTAAACATAGATGGATAGTGCTTCTGGATAGCAAGGAGGCGAGCACGACGGTAATACTATTTAAAAGTTAGATTTTGAAAAAATAAAAGCATATTACGGGAATAACGAAAATTACACTTAGATAAATGGAATGAATGAATCAGTTTAGAAAAAGTAAGCTTGAAAGATTGTTTCTTGCAGTTTAAGTTAATGTTAAGAACAGGAATTCTTAAATAAAGGATTGTACATTTATAGGCAGATTATATGAACTAGGCTTAACTGGGAGATCATAAAGCACAAAGATATAAGCAATAAAAAAAGGGAAGAAATAGATAAAATTGTAAAGTATTAATCGCTTAGAACAAATGATAAAAAATTGATCCATGAAAAAATATCCTTATAATATATGCTACAAAAGATGGATAACCAAAATGGGATAAATTCGAGAAAAACAAATAATTCTATATAATTATATGAAAGAATAAACATTTTGGGTTTAATGGATAATGTCGCATATAAAAAAACAATGATAAGTAAAAAAGGAGACCGTGACCAAACAGGCCACACCATCTTGGTCTTCATATTTACGATCTAAAATAAAAGCTGTTTTTAAGTAATTCTTTAATGATCTAGTGACTCGACTTTACATTTCTAAGGGAGAGTTAGTTGGAAGGGATTCGGGAATTAGCCCCGTTGGAAAACGAGGTGGGATATTTTAGAAAGAAGACCGTTGGATCGTGCGAAGAAGTTCTAGGTGTGTTAAAATCCTCACCATCATGCCATTCGTGAGCGCCCATGCTGATATTTCACCTATTATTATAAACTAAAGTAATTCTTGAGCAGGAAATAAATGTGACCAAACCTGTTTCGAGACAAATAGACTGGTGTCCTATCCACAACTGTTGAAACATGCTTAGATATGAAGTATTGTGTGCTGTAAATTGTATATATGCAAGCATGAGTGACTATTCAAGCTTGCTCATCTTGCTCAGCGGTTACTTTGCAGTTGTATGCCAAAATAAGAGTTAAACACGATCGTATAGGTTAACCTCGTGTTTGATCGAAGATAA